CCCGCCCGCTCGCCGGCTCCCCCGCCGCTGCTACCGCTCCCCAGAAGGTCGTCGTTGCTTTTTAGAACCCTCTCAGAGCATTTTGATTTTTTTCGCTTTAAATATGGAATGGGGGTAGTTCATCATTAATCACTTCTGAAAAGTTTGCTCTGAAACTAAAGGATAAGTTGCCTAAAAGTGTAAGAATCACGTAAGGGTAATTATTGCTCCGAGTCCAGTTTGAAGAGAGTTCCACACAATTACTTCCTAGTACTTCGTCACAGGATAAAGTTATGGGTCGATCAATGGAATGAATTGACAGCCCCCAACAAACCCTATCTTTAAGACCAAGTGATTTTCAACGAGCTTCCCAAGACAATTACGCGGGTAAAAGGATAATCTTTTCAGCTAACTGTTCTTGGACAACTTAACATCCACATGAAAAGGAATGAAGCAGGACCCCCTACCTGGCATCATGTGCAAAAATTAACTCAAAATGCATCGAAGACCTAAATATGAGAGTCAAAACTATAAAACCCATAGAAGAAAACATAGGAGTAAATGTGCATGAGCTTCAGTTAGGCAATGGATTCTGAGATACAACATTAAAAGCACAAATAACAGAAGAAATAACAGGTAAGTTGAACTTCAAATTAAAAGGTTTTGTGCTTCACATGGACAGACAATAGCTCCAGGAAGGCCTGGGGAGGGGTGGGAGCAGGTGGAGGGGGTCAGTGGGGGGGAAAGCGGACATCTGTAATATTTTCAACAACAAAGGTAAGTTAAAAAAGCTTTTGTGCTTCAAAGGACACTCTCAAGAAAGTGAAAAGACAATGCACAGAATGGGAGAAAATATTTTTAAATCATACATCTGGTAAGAAACTGGTATCCAGAATATGCAAATACACACACAATTACAGCTCAATCATTAAGTGACAAATAACCCAATTTAAAGATGAACAAAAGATTTGATAGACTTTTCTCCTAAGAACATACACATGTAGCCAGTAAGCACAGGGAAATATATTCAATATCATATCATTAGGGAAATGCAAATCAAAACACAGTGATGCCCGGCCGGTGTTGCTCAGGGGTTGAGCATCGACCCATGGACCAGAAGGTCAGGGTTCAATTCCCCGTCAGGGCACATGCCTGGGTTGCCGGCTGGATCCCCAGTAGAGGGTGTGCAGGAGGCAGCCAATCAATGATTCTCTCATCATCGACGTTTCTCTCTCTCTCTACCTCTCCCTTCCTCTCTCTGAAATCAATAAAAATATAAATATCTTGAAAAGCCACACACACACAATGAGATACCACTTCAGACTCACTAAGATGGCTGTCGTAAAAAAAGTCAGATAATAGCAAGTGTTGGCAGGGATGTGCAGAAAGTGGAACCCGCCAACATTGCTGGGAATGTAAAATGCTGTGGCCACTTTGGAAAGCAGTATGGCAGTTTCTTAAATGATGAAAAGAGTTACCATATGACCTGACAATTGTACCCATAGGTATACACAACCCCAAAGAAATGAACACATACATAATTTGTGCACAAATTTTCCTAGAAGTATTATTTGTAATAGCCCAAAAGTGGAAACAACCCAAATATGCAACAGCTGATAGATGGGATAAGGAAAATGTGTTGTCCACTTATGAGAATATTATTCAGCAATAAAAGGAATGAAGTACTGACATGGGCCACAGCATGGATGAACCTTGCAAACAATGTGCCTTGTGAAAGACGCCAGGCACAAAATGAATTGCATATTGTGTGATTCCATGAATGTGAAATGTCCTGAATAGGCAAATTCGTAATGACTGAGAGTGCGTTAGTTGTTGCTTAGGGCTCGGGGGACGAGTGGTGAAAGAAAGGGAATTAATAGGCATGTCGTTTCTTTCAAGGGGGAATGAAAATCTAAAATTAGATGGTAGCAATGGTTCCACGACCCTGTGAATATACTTAAGAAACATTGCATTGCTCATGTTAAATTATATGGTGTATGAATTATATCTCAATATGGCAGTTTAAAAATGCAACTCATTCTAGTTATATTTTGTAAAAATATTTTGGCTGGGTCCTAGTCATTTAGTATCAGGCGTTTTTCGATGTGTGAAGGACTTCAGTGACTAAAGCACGACACACTGCCTTTCCTTCCGCTTGCCCACATAGGTTTATTCTCCGTGCACCTATATAAAAAGCATCCCTTGCAATGCTGTGCGCGCCTAGTAGCTGCTCTGTGAAGTTTGTCCGT